GGCTCGGAGCGGTCCGCCGCGCACGCGCCCCAGGCCGCGGCCGCGCCCGCGCGGCCGCAGGCGTCCGCGCCGGCCTGCAGGTCTGCCTGCTTCTTCAGTCCGTCGACGAATTCGAGGAGCTTGCTGATCTTGCGGTAGCCCACGATGATCTCGAGGATCGGGTGGGCGCCCGGCTGCGCGGCCATGAACTCGAGGTTCTTCTTGTTGGTGGAGATGCGGCCGGACCTGGGGGAAGACGAACGGGCGCGGGCAGGCGTCGGAGAGGGCAGCGCGATCGAGCGTCACCGAGATCAGCGGCTTCTCGAGCCAGCGTGGTTGATTGGCCTGACCGCAGCGCCTCGCCGGGCCATGCATTGCCGGGCCGCCGATCTTAAACTCACTTGGTCTTGTCGGGGTTGGGGGGCGGCGCCAGCTTCAGCTTGGTGAACAGCAGATCTGAGATCTCTGTCTTGGACTCCCACTTGAACTTGCCCACCAGAGCCTCGGCCTGGGCCTGGGGGTCACAGCAGGCACAAGAGGTCGAGGGGGCAGCGGCGCGGTAAGCGGCACGCCTTTGAACGGGCGCGAGGGTGGACGACGAGGCGACATGTCACATGCGTGACGAATGTTCAAGGCGGTGCATGACAGACTGGCACACGAGCGAAACAACCTATGTTGCACATATCATGAGCTGCCAATATCACTTCAGGGCGACCGCTGTGCGCACCATCAATCGCCCCAGCTGCTTGAGCAGCGGTAGCTTCTGCGCCCCCAGCACTGCCAGGTCCAGCGCCACCCCAGCCGCCTCCATGCCAGCCAGCACGCGCATCAGGGGCATGTCCAGGGACCGCATCGCGCGGCCCAGGCCCTCCGACTGCACAAATACGTGCGATTGCGTGTGATTGTGCGCTTGAGACTGAGAGGTAGTGTGTGTGTGCGCGCTCTCGCGCATGTGTGCGTGTGTGTGTGTGCACGAGCCACAGCAAGGGACAGACTGTGAATGCGCGTGCTGCACATGTAGAAGGCATGGATCCGCAGGCACCCTGCCCGCTCCAAGTGGACGACTCTTCTGGTAGTTCAGCAGGGTACAAGCCAAACGAAGGCGAAGCCTCGAAACCAGCGCAGATTGTGTCACGATACCAAACCGTGCGCGCATGTCGAGCACGTATTTGGCAGCCCCCCCGCCCCGCCCCACCTCAATCAGAGGCTCCAGCTCGGCGTGCAGCCGCAGCGCCATGCAGGCGCGCGCGGAGGCCGGGTAGCGCCTGACGCGCAGCGTGTTGGCGGCGTCCTCGCGCGACATGCCGTGGGTCAGCCCGGCCGTCGCGGCCTCCACCGCCTGCATGGGGGGTGCCACCGGACGTTGTGCAACAGTGAGAAGCGACTTGGTTCAACTGCCGTCCCAGCAGAGGCATGAGATGGGGTAGTGCCACAGCTAGAGCCGTCTGACATGGATGCACAGGGCCCGGTCACGCCTTGCCGCCTCAGCTTCCTCGCGCGTGCGGGAAGATCGCATGTTGCAGCACCGCTGGCGTGCCCGCCCACCTCGTCCCCTGCCTCCGCCTTGCTGGCGAGCAGCTTCCTCAGCGCCGCCGTCGTCGAGTCCAGACCAGTGGTGCCCCTGGACTTGCACTCCCAGCTGTAGTCCCCGGGCTGCACCAGCCACGCGCACACCCGCGCGTCGACCACCGGGTCCGCCACCGCCACAGGAGACAGCTCCCCCTCAGCGCCCGCCGCCCCGGCGGCCCCGGCCGGCCCCAAGGCCCCGCCGCCCTCGCCGCCGCCCGCCGCGCCGCCCGCGCCGCCGCCGCTGCGCGCTTTGGAGTCTGCTATGAACTTCGCCAGGAGCGCCAGCGGCGG